GATGACATCTAGGCCTCAGTTATGTTTCAGCTTCAGGCTCAAGAAAGCAGCAAAACCAGAAGAAGTGATACCATGGCTGACATCAGGACCAGCTGCCACGACGAATGACTCCCTGCCCTGGCACCAGCCAGTCAGTAGAGACCACAAACCTGAAAAGGCACACCTGGAAGCTGATGAATATTCTATCAGCATCCTCCTCTGAGATCTCTCCTAAAACCCCCACCTTTGGAAGACTGATAAAAACCCTTCAGACGAAGGACCCCGTGTGTACTTGCACTCTTTCATTCTCTGTCTCCCTGGAGCATGCCCACGCCTTGCCCCTCCCTCTCCCAGGCATGTTATCTTAGCCTTCCTTTCTCCTAAGCTCCGAAGGCCCTTCTTTTGCCTCTGTAACTTGTTTCCTGAGCCCACGCAGCCCAACTGGCTCACTTCTTCTACCCCTGTGACTTTCGTATTTGAGTCTCGGCACTGAATTCTTTTTTTAGTTGGACTCAAAAACCAAGGTCTAACATCTGGTGCCATTTGCCATTAACAGTTGACGTTCAAAAGATATTTACAAATGAATTTTATGGGCAAGGCAGTGGGCTCTGTACCAAGGATGCAAAAGTTAACAAGACATGAACACATGGTAACACAAATGTTATGGCAAAGGAAATGCAGGGTTTTATGGGACTATGAAGCAGCAGAAATAAATCTTCTTTAGAGGAACAGATAAGATCTCCCACTGGGTGTGACAATTAATCTAAGACCTAAACAATGAAAAGGATTTTGCCTAGAAAAGGTTGGAAAGGAGAGGGATTAGGGGGCAGGGAGAGCGTTTGGGCAGAGAAAGAAACATGTGACTAAAAAGATGTTTCAGTGAGGCTTTATACTAAGTGCAAGGTAAGACCATGGAAGGGCAGTTTGCAAGGGATGAACTTACTAGATCTGTCTTTTGAAAGGTGCACTCTGGCTGTGCAATGTAAAATGGCTGGAGGGATGGTGGCGTGAATCCAGTTAGATGTGTGTTAACGTCAAATTCAAGGCGGTGGTACAAGGGCAGTGGCAACACGAGAGAAGCAATTTCATGGGCTGCTTAGAAAAATGGAGACTGGCTGAATAGGGAAGTGCAGTGAGGAGCAGGGAGTCAAAGTAGTCTTTCAGGTTTCCTGTGGAGCAACCAGCTAGACAGACGGCCCTGGAACAGACCCCGGAGAAGGAATGTGTTTAAAGGAGAAGACTTGAATGAGGATGACCTACATAGCCACCAAATAGAAGTGTTCAAGTCACATAACCATGATGACACTCTTAAATTATGAGAAATAGCATCTATCAGTGTTAGGGAAAAAAAGACGTGTTCTAGAACTAGCTTAAAGTATTAGTGATGAAGGGCTGGAGGAATAGCGTGGGTTGAACTGTGCCCTCCAAAAAATATGAAGTCCTTGTCCCTGGTACCTGCACATTTGACTATATTTGGAAGTAAGGTCTTTGCAGATGTAATCATGTTAGGATGAGACAACTCTGGAGTAGAGAGGCCCCTATATGCAGTAACTGCTGTGCTTATATAGTGGGGGGCGTTTTGAGACACAGAGTCACCGGAGAGAAGAAGCCAAGTAAAGGCAGAGGCAGAGACTGGAGTTAGGCTGCTACAAGCTAAGGAACCCCAGGGATGACCGGGAGCTGGAAAGGGCAAGGCGGGATTCCTTCCTAGAGCTTTCGGAGGGGGGTGTGGCCTGCCATTATCTCGACTTCAGACTTTGCCTCCAGAACTGTGAGAGAATGGATTGCTATTGTTTTAAGCTACCTAGTTCCTGGTACTATGCTACAGCAGCCGTAAGAAACTAACACAGAGAAAAAGACTGTTTTTAGCTACAGAATAAATTAGAAGGGAAGACCTAAGCCAGATATAAGGCTAGTATATGAAAACAGTAAGACAGTTAACTACCTTATAAGTATTTTGGGGGTATAAACCTATTTTGGTCTTGATTTCCATTTTCACACTGCAAAACTGGGAAGAATAGTTGTTAATCCCTAAGGTTATCCATTGCGTATAGTCTGTACACTGTAATGGAAAATTATAAATGAGCAAGTTATTACTAGGCAAGGATTGCAGAGGATAATGTTATTATTCATTAATCTATGAGTACAACATGGCAATTGATTATTGCTGTGTCAGGTCTGACAGATTTTCACACCTTCACTACTTTGAAGGCAATGCTGGTTGATAGTTCACCATCACTCTGGGACAGTGGTTCTCAACTGGAGGCAATTTGGCTCCTCGAGAACACAGGACAATGTCTGGAAACATTTTGGGTTGTCACACCTGGGAGAACAGTGCTACTAGAAACCAGGAAGCTGCTAAACCACCCTAGAAAGCACAGGGCAGCCCACGACAGGGAGTCATCAGGTCTCAGTAGCACCAAGCGGAGAGCTCGGCACCAAAAGTACCCAGGTCATCTGCAAGGAAAGCTTCAACTGCCAAAGATTTCACTTTCTCATTCAAAACAGTCAAACTGATCGTGGGTCCTTTTGAAATGTGATCAAAGAGACGATTAATACAGTGACTCACAAACAGCCCAAAGCTAAAGGAAACTTTAAACTTCCTTCTGATATACTTTTTTAAAAAAGTGAAGATTCCTGTCCTAGAAGACAGCCGTGGTCACTGACACCCTGCAAGCACTAGCAGGAACGCTGGCGCTGCACAGTGGAGGCAGCCACACATCCCAGACATCTGCAGCTGAGCTCGGCAGAAAACATCTGCCAGGCCGGGAGGAGGAGGAAGAGTAACTCCCCTCCCAAGCCGACTCTGCCGGTAGCCCGGGAGCCTCCCTGAAGCTGAAAACCACTAGAGATCCAGGAGCTAGGCTCCTTGACTAAGCCCTGGAATTACGATTAGGCAGTGGGTGGCTGGATCAGTCCTGCGGAGCTGGCACAGGTAGTTATCCTTTATCTGTACCTCATGGCCAAGCCTAAATTATTGCCTTGTTGAAAGCTGCTGAATCTCCTTCGCTGCAGCCTCTGGCATGTGAAGCATTTGTAGTTGCCTCCTTGAAGCAGCAGAGTAAATATGGCTGCGCATACTGTACATTTTTAACCAAGCCTGTTTATCAGGCCTCTGCATTCTGCTTGTCACTCTCACCACATATTTAGGTCATAAACAACTTGAGCCTCAATGCTATTCTGAGTCAGGAGCACCTTAGAAATAGGATGATGTCATGGTAAGGGCAGGAAAATTCCAGTTTCGGTAAAGGCAAAGTTAGGTACTCAGGTTGCCCTCTCTGCTGAAGCTGTATGTTTTGCTGTTCTTTATAATACAAGTTCAAGTTTACCTGAGCAAATAAATGTGGGAGAGCTAGGAGAGCAACATTCAATGTAATAGCAAAATCTCCTATGGAGGGAAAAGTATGCTAGTTCGTAGGAGAGCATATACCTTAATTCTAACTTTCAAAAGTCTGTATTTATTGGGTAGTTCTATGCAAGTCCAAGAATAAAAGTTGTACTAGCCTGGTTTAAATACCCTTAATGGTTTCATCAAGTCCCCGAAGACATAATAATCAAAGCTACATTATATTTAAAATTGGTTTAATATACTTTTTGTTAAAATCAAAAGTTTAGATAAAGATTTGGTCCATTGAGACAGAGCAAATATTTCAACAGCTGGAAGATGTTAAAAGTCAAGAGTTTTGGCATTTGAAGAGTCATATATATAATTACTCTTCCCAAAAAACAAAACATCTCGTTGAATGCCAAAAAAACATGCTATCTCATAGGAAACCAACAAAACATAAAAATACAAAAATGATAATGTCTCTCCACTCTTATTTATAAAATTGACTCAGCTCCTAGAACTATTTAAACTGCCCCAAGGTAAGAGAAATCATTTCTTCTTAAAGTTATGGAAACTCTCTTTTCCTAAGTATGAAAAATAATCATCATAGTTGTGTTTTGGCTTTTCAGGATAGACCATCCAAAGTTTTCATTTCAGCTAGGCAGCCAAGCAGCTGAAATCATTCATAACAGTCTGTCTGACTAAAAGGAACAAAAAGAAAAGCTCAACCTCAGTTTCAACTGAGTTTGACTGCTCAGGCTAACATGTCAGCAAGTCAGGTAGAATTTAAATAAATATTTTATGGCAAATTTTGACACGTATTTTACATATTCTTAGAGGCTTGTCTCCACAAGTCTCTTCACCTTGTCAAAACTGTACCCCATGAACAACTCCTACTTCTGTTACGTGCCAGCAATTCTCCCCACTAGCATTGCCTTCGTATGTGGAATAACACACCACGGGTTTATGTTTAAGTTCACATTCTGGGAAAAATGGATATTTACAAAGGACCAGCAGGAAAACTACAGTCCTACATACACTGAGCGCAGTCACTGATGTCCCCTAGAGAACAGCGTGCGCGCCTGTCCTGCGGTCCGCTGCCCGTCTCCCCAGAGCAGCACGTGGGCGCACAACCTGAGGTCTGAAGCTGGAGGCGCAAACACTCTGCCACCCACCTGATTTACTTCATACTCCCTTAAGAAGAGAGAATTAGAGTATCGCTAATGTCTTCCCAGTCACGGGGAGACGTTTTAGGCTAACGGTCATTAGGAGCAGTGGATTTTAAATTAAGTTACAAGGAGCACTGGACACGCACCTCAGCTTGTTCTCAACCAGAGGAAAGGTTCTATGGAGAAGAAATTTGAACACTGCTGATTGGGGATAATAAGAGTGTTCCCTCCCGAGGGATGTCAGGAGAACTCAATAACCTAAATGTATAAAACGTTTCGAACGGGGCGTTGCGCACTGCAGAAGCTCAATGGGGCCTGGCTCAAGTGGTGACACGGCTAAGGACTGAAGTCTCAGCTGTGCAGGTAATTTAAAGGAAATGAAGCACAGAGGCTGCCTGGTTCCTCGTGTAGAAACTACACCTCTAACATCCCAAGCTTTTAAAGGACGATCACCTCTAACAAGCGTTTGAATTGCAGAGCTTTGAAACTGGATACACAGCGAGCAACGCCACAGAAAGGTTTACCTCTTCTTCTTGGTGATAATGAGCACGTCGTTAAAGAGAAAGAAGTAGACTTGCTGTTTGGATGTCCTTCTTGAGAAAAGCACAGTGTCTTCTACATAGGCTGTCAGTTCACCTCTCTTCACCAGCCACCGGGAGGAGGAGACTAGAGGGAAAGGCTACGAGAAGAGAAAGACTCAGCATCCGAAGCCGAACGAGAGTGCTGTTAAGGTTATTGTAAGTAAACTATAAACCTTACAAAGAAACAACTTATACATATTATGGCATGCGTCATTATTTCACAGGTATGTTACAGTGAAATAGAATTAGAGAAGTATAGTAGTTCTCCAACAGAAAATGAAAAAGAACAATTTATTTTCCAATATAAAAAACCCCCACTAATTTGCTTGTATGTAACTAAAACTCAATGTGAAAATGTTACTGGGTCAAGAAGAAAGTAAGTTTTATATTAACTCTTTCCATTAACTCTCAACTGAAAAAGATTGGTAAGGAGTCACTTAAAACCAAAAAGCCTCAAAATCAAATCTACCAGTATCAACTGCAAGTATTTTATATATCATAAATCAGAATCTAAACATACAGGAAAATATAGATAACTGTAGTTAAGAAACAAATGTAAAAGTCTGCATTTACTCTATAAACTAAACAGACTTTATTCAAAAGGGAAAAAAATCCTCTCAAATGTATGATTTGTCTACTGATTCTTTACTTAGCCATATTCTGAAGAACACCTGTTCTTAAGTTTATAGTAGTTTTCCTCAGAGAAGTTCATCCCTGAAAGCATCATGCCATTTTCTGGCTGGAAAAAAACGAAGTTTTCCCAAAATAATCCATCTTAATCTCACAGAAAAGGCTGGATACAAGAAATTACATAGTTTAAAGAAAAAAATTTCAGTTTCCAGTTTCCAACTGAAAAACTTTCAAGACCACAGAATAATCCTTACCCTTGAGAGCTCTTTTTTTTTTTTTTTTTGTTACCAGAAATGCTTACTGCCTAAGGGCTGACTTAAAAAACTACATCCATAAAATAAGCAGAAGTTCTTGGACACACAAAACACAACTGTGGAAGTGTAGTGCAACCAAATGTCATCCTTTTCAGGGAATAATGATTAAAAATAGCTAAAGGAAATGGAGGATATTAGGAAGGAAATAAGACAGCTAAGAAATGATTTCAGGTTTTTTTTTTAAAACTTTATAAAGGTCTTTTATAAGCAGGTTGCTCATCAATTATGTACTGCTTTCCTGGAGGTTTAAAAAGAAAGATGAAAGATTATGGCTGACCTCAAACTTTCGAAACTTGCTATTAAGTGACTACATAGAATTTCCAGTCCCCAAATCTCAAATCAGATGCTTATCCAACAGGAATGGCTAAAACTTTAAGGGCTGACAGATGAAGTGCTTAGATGATTCTGGAGAATCCCATCAGCACACAAGAGGTCACCACAAAGAACTGTGTATCCGGTTTGGTCCTGCTGAAGGTTTGTAACTCCTGGAACACAGTGCTATCTTGCTCTTGCATGTCACCCTACCAGATGAACCAAGGATCGTTTTAAGGTTAAGCTCCAATGCATATGCTACCTTATGGCTGCACTTAGTTTAGGGGCTGGGAAAAGAGTTTTTAAAATAAACTGATTTTTATGGACTCCTCATACTCTACTAGGCAAAAATAAATTTCTAATGAGCATTTAAACCTGACAGTAGCTTTCAATATGTTTATGCATCTTTTGAAAACAAAAATCTGATGTTGTGTGTTTGTTTTTTTGCCTCAGAATTTACTGTTAGAAGATGAAAATTCAATCAGAAAGTCTTTTAAAAAAGAGAAGAAGAAGAAAGAAGGAGAAGAAAGAAGGGGGGAGGGGGAGAGGGGAGGGTGACGTCGTAATTCTGTTTAACATTTTGAGGGGCTACCAAACTGTCTTCTCCAGGGCTGCATCCCTGTACTGAAAAAAATTGTCTCAAAGGCTCATGTCGGCTGAAACATGCCACAGCTATAAGCTACTCAAAAATGTTCAGGGAAATTGAGGGCCCTGGTGGCAAAAGAAAGATTCTGCTGTGTTTTTACTCATGCGTGAGATTCGATGAGGCATGGGGCTAGGATGAGGCAGGTGTGGTCGAAGCAGGCAAAGGAAGAAGCCTTCTGGCGGTCCAGGTTGATGTGCTGCTGATTTTCACCAGGCGCTACTGATGGGGTAACTGCTTGCTGTGGGGTAACACCAGCATTTCCCAGGAGAAACTTGGTAAGTCAAGGCTAGTTTTACTTTTGCTGCTGATGGCACTTTTCAGCTATACCAATTACCAGATAAATTTTCTAAAATATTTAGGAACAAATTACAGAGAAGGACAAGATTCTTTTGCGCCGATGGGAGAAAGATGGGTTTTGAAATTGCTGTGAATTTCTGTATGACGGCATTATAACTATTTAAAGAGTATGTATGCATTTGTGTTGTGTTTAACAAGTACCTATTGTTGCCTATTTTAAGACGAATTATGGATCATGTTTCCATCACTAAACCTTTATAGTCAAGATGTTGTAGTGGAAGAGTTTACACTGATCTGCAAGTCAGGACATCAGGACCGTAGTCCTGATCTTACCACCAGTAGCCAGGTGATCCTGTTAACAAGGAATTATTCTCTGGGCATTGTTTTCCTCATCTGTAAAATAAAAGGGTATAGCTATACTATATAGCGATCCGTACACTATATGACACGGCAGCAATCTGCTCTCTGCGGCAGGCCATGAAATGCTGATCGCTCTCATTCCACTGCACAAATTAGGAACATTTTTACTATAAAAAAAAAATATGACTTGTCATTTTAAGTTGCTTGATGAAATTTACATGTCATAAGACAAAATGGAACCACAATTGTAAGCATTCACATCCATTCACTACTCAGCTGCAAACCAATAAAGGACTGAGCATGGCCTAGATTTGTCATTAAATTGTCATTTTCTTTTTTGTTCACCTTGTCATCTGCTCCTGAGCAGCATCAGACAAGCAGGAACAGGCAGCACAAAGTCAATAAGGAATTATGGGAGAAAAACAAATTTGCAAAGACAACCCACAACTAATCGTGTTTTGCAAACCAGACAAGGAATGTCCTTATTTGATTTGAGAGAACACCCTAGTTCAGCTCCTGGGATACCACTGATTTGCAGGACACTTGAGTATATGAAAGAACTCTCCTTTCCATACTAAAATTCTACTATTTTTAACTACCCTTTACCCAAGTTTGGTGTCTCTCGGGGAGGGAGGAAGGGAGGGTGTTCTAGTTCAATAATCCCTAACTCTGGCCTGCAGAGAGGGCACTTTATCCGGCAGAAACAAGAGCAGAATTGCCCCTGGCATCTGCTACTCCCTCCGCTCAGCCTCTCTCTAATCAATCTATGGCCCTTCTTTGAAAAGTCAAATCTTATCCACTTTGTTGCCCTCAACTTGTCTCTCTCTTTACAGAAAACTTAAACAAGAGCACTAATACACCTGTTTATGAAGAAGGATGAGAATACCTTAATTTTAAATTCCAGCTGGGAGTTAATTGTGTACATCATTTCCGTCCTCTCCATCTTCCGGGCGCCTTCATTGCATAGTCGAACCAACTGGGAAGACAGAAAAAATAGGAGGGTTGAGAGGTCAAGGAGAGAAACTTCACTTTCAAAAGCAGATCTCTCGCAGGAAATAATTAGCACTTGGGAAGCTCCAGAAACTCATTTCTGACAGTTCAAGTGCTCAGTTTTATACAGTGAAGCCTTTGTACTCAGTTGGGAAACAGCATTATTAGTTCGTGAAGACAGAGGGAAAAAATCATCCTGGAAATTTTCAGGGACCCATATCCTTCTTATGTGTTCTTATTACATCACGCCCTCCCCACACAGGTTCCTGGCACAGTTCAGGCCCCTGTGCTTTCTGCTCCTTCCCTCTGCCCCTCCTCCTGGCCTCTACCCAAGGGAACCTCACCTGGCACAGGCACGCTGCACCTTCCTCCTCATTGCCAAGTCCGAGCGGCTGGAGGCAGACTACCAACATCAAAGGCAAATTTTAAGCAGAGTGGTATGTGCAAAGCCTGTGACCAGTGACAGAATATGGAAAGAGGGATGGCTTCATTCAGGCGGAACCTGGCAGCCGATGATTCTTCAAGGATGGCTAAGCCAAGGGACATTCCCTTTAATTAGAACTAACGAATCGTCTACAACTGAATGCAGGCACAGTCCTTTGGTGAAGGCCTGTGATATTGTGATTTATAATAAGAAATACATAGTTTTTGTCCACAGTACCTGGCACACAGCATCTAAAATCCTTCGTAGTTTCCTATTAAGAGCCGTAGAGGCATCTTTAGTTATAATAGGATATTTATTTATAGCAAGCCTGTTTCAACATCATCTGAGTTTCTGTTAACGAGGCAACTTTTGAAAAGCCCCTAACCATCGGGTGAGGGCTGACTGCCAGAAGAACCCGTCACGGGATCAGACAGTGGGTTCAAACCTTCAGCCCCAACCCCCAGGCTTCTGGGAGGAGGATAGGGGCTGGAAATCGACTTGATCACTAATGGCCAATGATTTAATTAATCAGTCACGCCTACGTAATGAAGCCTCCATAAAAATCGCTGTACTAGGACATCCAGCCAAAAAGGGGCCTCATCCACTTTGACAAGGGTGACAAATGGCCCCATACATTCAGCTGCTGCAGCAGCAAAGGGCTATTCCTCTGTAAGCATCTGAAAGTGCTTACACAATCTCTATTCTCATGGAAGGGCAGAGGAGAGATCCAATCATTACAGATTGAGATCTTAAAGTAAAAAAAAAAAAAAAAAAAAAAAAAAAGCAAAAACAGGGGAGTGGGGGAGGAGGAAGATAGAGAAGGAGGCCTCTCCTGAGAGGCCATTCACACTGAAAGCTGAAGGCAAAGGAAGAGCGAGTCGTGGTCCAGGCAGAGCGCACACCATGAGCAAAGGGCCAATGAAGGGAGAGTGCCAGTGCCAGTGTGTCTGAGAAAGTAAAAGGTCCTGACACAGGAAGTTGGCACGAGAGGAAGCTGGAGAGATAGGCCAGGGTCAAAGCATGCATACTGTGAAGGCATCTGGACTGTAGTCTTAAGTGCAAAGAGAAGCCACCAGCAGGCTTTCAGCAATAACCTTCACAAATGAAAAAGATGACTAATTCCTCAGCTGGGTATATTGGTGATGTCAGTTTCCATATAACACTAGGAGACTAGGGGAATAATTCTGATATTCAAGACTCGTAATTGAGAAAGAAATGCTGTCCGAGAGAGAAAACAAGTCACTGGAACAGCTTGTCTTCACAGAGAGCCTTTTATATACTTACAGTATCAAAGTAAGGCAACTGACTGACCCCCTGCATTTTGTCTGCCTTTCCTAAAAGTACCAGTATCAAATCAAGTGAATAAGAGATGCCTGAAGGAATGTAGTAGTCTACTGTAACTAGCATGTGGAATGCTTGAAAACTATTAACTATCATTCCTAGTTCAATTCAACTCCCACCTTTCTCTTTTCTATGTGAATTCAACTTCTCAGTAGCAATCACACCAGACTTGATAAATCTCTTGTATGTTCAAAGCTAAAACTTTTCTAGTAGCTTCTCCAAAAGACTCTCCCCTCCCCCACTCCTCTAGGCCTCGAGGAAGCGTAGGGTTTGGGTTCCCAGAGGAAAGACCCGTTTGCAGTAGAATCTCAGGTGACTTCACATCTGTCAGGCAAAGTTTCTTTTTATCAGACCATTGATGGGGCAAGAGACGAATTTAAATGGTTGACAGATTGCTATGGTTTGAATGTTTGTATCCCTTCTGAACACATACATTGAACTCTTAACCCCCAAAGATGATGGTATTAGGTAGGGCCCCCATGAATGGGATATTAGTCCTTTATAAAAGAGGCTCCAGAGAGGTCCCCAGCCCCTTCTGCTGTGTGAGGACACAATAAGAAGTCTGCAATCTGTAAGAAGGTGCTCAAATGACCATGCTGGCACCTTGATCTTGGACTTTTTCAACCTCCAGAACCGTGAGAAACAACTTTCTGTTGTTTATAAGTCACCCGGTCTGTGGTATTTTGTTCTAAAATGAACTAAAACAAAGATAAACTATTTCTAATATAAAAATGTATGTTAGAAAAATAAATAGCTCATAAAACCCACGATTTTTAAAAATTATTGACAAAAATGAGGATAAGTAAAATTGAGTCAATTTAAAGAAGTTTGAAGAGTACTTTACAGGAAAGTGGTACAAAGATATACCGTACTCAAAGGCGGTACACAGCTTCGTTATGCCTAGGAAGCTTCCAATGGCATCATCACCTTTGCCTCCATGTCTAGCCTGCTCAGTGTCCTCCTTGACTTACCGTCTGATGCTTTCTCTCAGCTGGATATCTCTATCAGCATTTAAACATACGCACATTTCTCTAATCTTTAGATGAGCAAGAAAACAGCCTCATTCACCTGCCTGTGAGCTACAGCTCTCTCTCTCCCCACTCACAGCCCCGCTGTTGAAAGAGCCAGAGCCACCCTGGCTGGCTGGCTGGCTGCACAGTCACACCCCCTGTCAATCCCTAATATACCCCACCCGGCTCCCACACCCCTCACTGCAGGGACACAGCCTACCTGAAGATAACCCCAACGAACGCTTCGCCCGCTATTTCACTTCTTTCAGGAGCACTCAACAGGGCTGACCTTCCTCTCACCAAATTGTCTGCTATTTTGCCAGGCCTTTATGGTTTTCCATAAACACTCTTTCCCCCAATCCCTGGCTTACGGCTACTCTTACTTTAGATTTAGATTAAACATTACTATGTTCTTCTGCCTTGTCACTCACCACCCTTGACTGGAATTCCCATTTACCATCTGTTTTCCCCTTTACATGGCACATTTCATGAGGGCCGAAACCACAACTATCTTGTTCATCACTGTATTTTCAAGGGCTGGCATTAGGCCTGGCATAATAGAAAAGAGGCAGTAAATATTTATTTAATAAGGGAATGAATAAACAGCCATTCAGATACCACAGGAAGATGGGATATCTGTATCTACATGCCCTTAAAGCGAGACATCTGACACAGTAAAACACGCATTTCATTTGAGTACAGCAAACATCATTTTGTTTTTCAGCTATCTAAAGACTGCTGTGCAAATGGCTATGAGAATCTACTAATTTTTAGCATCAAACACAGATGCATTCTCTCTCAAGTTATTAGAATGGTTTCCTGTCTGATGAGCTCCAACAGTTACCTTGCTTACTTCCTTTAAGGCTCTTTTACAGACTTCATACTTCGGAGAGTCCTTAGGTGTTTTTTGACAGATCGTCTGCAATGAAGTAAAAAAAGAAAAAAATTATTGATTTATTTTATTAAGTACAAGAAAACCAATGCCCAGATATAACCTCTTACTCATAGCAAACTTAACAATGCTATACACAATACTGTGGATGGGTGTGACAAGGACATTAACATCCAATTACAAAACTAGGAAATGGTCTTTAAACATACAGAACCCAAGGACATCAAGGAAACGGTCAAATAAGAGGACAGCCTTCAGAGGTGGAGGAACCTGATTTCAAGTCTGAGTTCCCTCTCTTCCTAGCTATCTGATCTTACGCAAGCCGTACTCCTGTCTGTGTCAGCCTCAGTTTCTTCATCTGTAAATTCGGGATAATGCCAGCTCTATCACCGGGTGTGGCTGCAAGTGATAAATGATAATACACGTGAAGTCCTTCATGAGTATCTGGCACACAGTAGGCCCTCGATAAATAATAATGTGACTTTACTTGTCATCATCCTCATTAAAGATTAACTAGTCTTGTAGATGGTGCAATTCAATAAAAGATCAAGAAATAAAGGCTGCTAAATTTTCTCTTGATATATTTACACTGCAATTTCGGTGAGGGTAAAGTTGAGCTCAAAGAGGATCAATTCAAAGTAAACTGAATTACCTATAACTTTTGAAGCTATATCCATTCAAAACCAACAAAACCATTTTAATTGTTTAAAATGTTCCCTCGATTAAGCTTAAATCGTCTCAAAACAAGTTTAACTAAATCTCCAAATGAAGTAAAATTGAAGAGACAACGTTTTAAATCCATTTAGGTCCCGCCACAGGGGCCAGATTCCAACACAGGAGAACGTATTAGAGCAACAGGCATCATGCGAAGGTGGAAGGTAGTTGGGACCTAGCAAACCACTGGTACCTGAAATGCAAGTAAGTCCCGGACTCATAAATCTGAAGTCTGGGGTCAGGACTGTTATATGTGATATGGCAGAACAAATACAGGGGGTGCTGTCTGTGAGTTTATATTAATGGTTCTGTAATTTTTTTGACTATGGCCCACTGTAAGAAATACATTTAAACTGCAACTAGTACACGTGCAAACAAAAATGAAACAAGTTTCTTTAAAAATAATATCTAACTACATTATGAACCAGGTACATATCATGTACTGTATGATCTATTACAATTTTTTTAAGTGTTCATTTTCCAAAAAACAATTTTATGACCCACTAATGGGTTTGAAAGGAGTTTGAAAAATACTGTTTTATGTTCCTGAGAGCAGGCGCCTGTGAATTGGTACGTACTGGATTTTCTAGGGAGAATGACAACAGCTCTACGCAGAATCGCACAAGGGCCTCTGACCAAAAAAAGTTTAGAGGCCACTGGACAATAATGGCATAAACCTCCAACATTGTATATGAGATTTTGCGGGTCTCAATCTATTCAAGCAATTTTTTCAAAATGAAGCAGAGAAAGAATACAGGAGGCTGAGAGGCTGTCACATATACAGACCTTAAGGAAACATGGCTAAAATGCATTTTCATAGGAAGAAAAAAAAAGAATACTGAAAAGTAATAACAAGAATTTTACATTTAGAAAGCACCTATTTCTTATTTAAAATAGTAAAGTTTGAAATATTTCCCTGTATAACTCAAAGCTTAATGTTTTTATAAAAGTCTTATAAGTCACATAATATAAATCTTTTTTTTTAATGGCTTCTTCTGATAAATCTTACAGAAGAAAGCATAGTAGTTGCTTCTTGAAGCTATCTTTGAAACATTCACAATATTAACATAACTCAGTGCAAGCTGTTATACTATGTTATTAATTTATCAAGAAACACTGCCTATTGTCAGGCTTAATATTTACTATTTAATTCGTTTTTATGCCAGCTGTGCAGGTACTTATTATCCTTATTTTCCGATGAAGTTAAGCAATTTGCCTAGGATCACATCGTAAGTGGCAGAGAGAGAATTTGTCCCCAGATCTGTCTTACTCGGGAGCCAAAAGACTTCGCTACACCCAGTTTCCATGTTGGAGTCCCTCCCCACAGAGTGCTGTGGGTGATGGGAAGAGGAGGGAGCTCTGTCTGGTTGGAGGGGCTCTGAGGAAGGCTTTATGAAAGAAGGCTCACTGGGGCTAGTGCTTGAGGGATGCGCTTGCTCTGATCGTGGGGAAACGGAAGATTGAGAAGTGGAGGCCAAGAACGATGTGAACAAAGATGCAGAGTGGGAAAGTCAGGGCATGCGTGGGGAAGGAACAAATTAGGATGGCACCTGAAACTAAATCTTTTCAAGTCAAAATTTGGTTTTGAGAATCTGGCTGCATTCTATCCTTGATAAAAATTAATCTCAAAAAATATGATAGAGCTAAATTGTCAAAATTCTGCAAGTTTTTCAATATTCACAAGAAGTTCCTAAATTACAAATGATGGATGGGAAGCGTGGGAAGGTAGTAAGTACACCGAGGTAAACTTGGAGAGCAGCGGGGTGCTGTGAATTCTGAGAGGATCACCTAAACCACCCCAAAACCACGCAGCTGAGCCAACAGTGACTCATTGCCAAAGTTCAATGCTTTCTTGGAATGTATCTTAGAATTTGTAATGCGATATAGAGAACAGAATCTATTTTGTGATGTTACGCAATCATAATTTTTGCTATATTTTTATCCTGTGTTTTGCTTTGTACAAATCAAGTAAGCTAAAACTGACATATTAACACTAAGATCAATGTTAAAGTAGAACGATGAGAAACTATTTCAATTTGATCACAAAGACACTCTTTGCCCCAGTAGCTGGATGGCAGCTGTGCTGGGGCCCTGGTTCTGCTCTCCCAGATGCCATTACGGATCCAGCCCTACCAACGAGACGGCCCCTTGGCCCACCAGCCACCTGCCCTCCCAGCTGCACTCCATACCAGGCAGTCTTTACCCACGTCTCCCAGTTGCTATTCAAAATCAATTCTTGCTGTCTTCATTAATGTTCCCTAAAATAAGAAGGAAGCTGGACTTTCCAAGCCACTTTGTGCAATGCAAATTGGGGCAAGTTTATGCCTTGTGACGCTGAAGTCTCATTCCCACAGCACCTTTCCTAACTACAGGAAAGAGGTCTCAGTGACTGACCGGAGGAGGCCGAGGCCCAGAGAAACTAAATGAGTTAGTTGCCCAAGGTCACAGGCCTAGCGGCTCAGCCGGGACAGGAATCCAGGAATCCTGATTCAAGAAGTCAACATTTTTCCCATTTCAAAAAACGCTGAGTAAGTCAATCTAAATTCTTTAGTGACCACACAAGCCTAAATTGAAGATCACTTCCAAAGATATGAAACAAAAGTGCAGATGTTTTAACTTTCCAACCGAAGAGCACTTTCTCACTTAATCAGGAGATTTTTATAGAGGGGTTATGCATCAATTTAAGGGAACGAAGAATGATTTTCTTGGTCAGATTTACAGCAACTACAGCTATCCACACAGGAAGGAGCCCACCAATCATGTCTTACGTCCATCAGCAGGGGAAGGCGAGTCACCCTCTGCATGGGGAGAATGAGGAAAGAGATCATAGGTAGGTTCCTACAGTCTTCATGGGACTCGATTCTTGACAATACTTCCTTGAAAGATGGATTGGTGGCTCTGAGGAAAAACAAAGAAGAAACTTCAATACACCGCCTTGTCTGGTTACGAAGCAAATAAAAATGTAGTAAAAAATACTGTGATAAATTCATATATCATCAATGATTTTTAAATATACAGAACAACATGAACACCTAATTACACAGGTAGACATAGCTGGCTTGTCTGCATTTCATAGTCAAGATTCAATATAAGATATGAGTTTAAAGTAACTGTTATGAAAAATAAGATGAACGTGTTGAGCCAGCAATCTACAGAAATGGGAAGTAAACAAATGAGAAGGCAATGGCATTGTGCTGGTGAACACATCAATTACAAATTAGTATACAGACAAGACCTCATATCTGATAACCTATAAACATTCCATTAAAAAGATAACAAATGATTTGTTTTAAGCAGCTTCTGTAGCCCCAGATAATAATCTGAGAAAGAAATGTGTCAGACTGGATTTACTAACTAGGAGGCTTCAGGACTTTTTCAAACTATCTAAGACAAAAAGACCTTCTGACTATTGTCAGCCAGAGTATTTCTTCTCTCCCAGTGACATAAAAACAGTAGTAATACTGTCCCAACATTTTTATGAAATTTAGCAAGATATACTGACATATATGATTTTATGTGGAACCACCCAAATAACTTTTAAGAAAGGTCAAGACGGGATTCCAATAAGAATGGAGACTCAGAAAGGTCCCCAAACTTGCCGATTAACAGATCTGGTCCATGGTAAAGACAGAAATCAAACCAAGGTCCTCTGCCTTTCAGTGGGTCTTCTACCCCGCGCCTCACTCTCACCTCACTTCATCCTAAGAGGAGCTTTCAGGAGCTCCGCTGTGACTTGCGGGAGGGACCGTCCTGCACAGGGAAATCCCATGCTGAGGGGCAGGGAAGAGGCCGAGAAGCAGAGTAATGGCAATTGTGATCTTTTTAAAAGATATATACAGATATAGAAAATTAAATAATTTGGTTCAAATCTGCTAAACATAAAATAGGATATACCCAGAAAAGCAAATTTTAAAAAAAATTTTTTCACAGAAATATTTTAATTTCATTTTCTCAAAATGAGGAGTTTTAAGTTTTCCTTCCTGCTAGCTTGAAACAATTTTTAGGAAACTAAAAGAAAAAGAATCATATTCAAAACGAGTTGCATCTTTAAATCACCTAGTCCCCCACCTCCAAAGAGTATGACTAGAGAGTCTGGAATGGACACTGGGCTGTGTTTGTTTGCTTGTTTTCAGATTCCCAGGAGTTTCCAAAGCACAGCTGAAGTTGCATGTCACTGTCCTAAATGTAAATTCACACCAACTGCAACAAAGCTCCTGAAAACGCAACTACTAGTTTTCCAGGGGAAAGTTCAAATGATGGCTTCATTAAGCTAATTTCAATAAAACCTTCATTTTTTAAGAATTACATAACATACAGCACTTACTATTCTCATTTTTTAAATCCTGCAAAAAAAAAAAAAAAAAAAAAGAAAGAAAGAAAGAAAAAAGAGAGAAAACAAACTGAAATTTAGCTCTAATTTAAGGCTTTGTTTTTGAACATGTAACTTGCATTTTCTAACTGTTACAGAGCAACCTTGACATCAGAAGTTCCCAGCAGGGATGGGGGTTACGAAAAATGAGGGGTGCGATCCCCCCACCAAGGGACAGTCAGCAATGTGTGCAGGCATTTCAGTCGTCACAACTGGGGTGAGACGGTGCTACCGGCATCCACTGGACAGAGGCCAGGGATCCTGTTGAACACGCTGCAACGTGCAGGGCCGTCCCCACAACAAAGAGCTATTCAGCTCCAAATATCAGTAGCGCCGACAAACCCTGCTTTGTACTGAAAACCTCATTTGGAGTTGGCAGCTGGATTTCCCACCCTGCCTATACAAGAGCGTCGTGAGGACGGGGAGAGAGAAGGGGCCCACCAGCCCTTCTCATCAACTAGGGGGCTGCTTCTCCAAGCAGCCTTCGGGGCGATGACTCGTCCGCAAGGCCAGCCTCCCCGCCGGGTCTCACGCACGGCAGAGAACCGCAGCAGGCTTCCTTCCATGCAGTGTTCCCGAATGCCACAACTCACGGGGGGGACGAGAATGAGAGCAGCCAGTACACCCCAAACTGAGTTTCCAGCGATGGACAACTGCACTGGAGAACCAATGTGATAAACAAGGCCCCCGAAAATAAAACAGTATAGATTACTGAACAACTGCTGACTCTTTTAAGGATAGGGATGGAATATATATCACACCCAAACTCGCAGTAACCTAAAGAGGACAAAGACAAGGTGTGGAGGGAATTTAAAGCTTACTTGTTTTTTGTTTCGTAACTAAAGTCTTTAAGAACTTTTCCCCACATTGGTTTCCTTCAGATCTTCCCTTCTCAAACTACCCAAGGGGAAAATCAGCAGCTCCTATACAGAACATGATAGAGCTGTCATTTGAATGGAGGAAGATTAGAGTAGTAGAGAAAGCTCTGGACCCTAGACGCTAACTAATTCAACCTACTCAAACACTCTCTCTCGCCCTCAGGCAAAATACCCAATAGCCAGTTAAAGGCTTAGAAAACTGGGGTATTTGAAATGATAATGACAACAATTAAAAGCAAAACCAAAAGAAAAACAACAAACTCTAATTTCACAATTGAGTTAGAGAGAAAATTCTCCATGGATGAGATTTTTCTACTCAAACGTGCTCACCCTGATAACAATTGTCTCAAACATTTCTCCCTGGAAAATGGCCCATCACAACGCATTTCTAACTATGATTTAACAGATCGATTAATTTTAATCGCTGTGACTCAATTACAAAAAGGTCAGACAATTAAAACTGTAATATTCAGCATAGCTTACAACAATTTTTGTAGCGTGCGTTGTTGGTAGACTTCATTTGTACAGTATTTCACATACGGGTCAAATGTGGATGCTGTGTGTTTTTCCACAATGTCACTTATGTCATCTATGAAGATATTATTCTGATGCCTTGCTTCCAATTCTGTAAAGAATCTGAAGAAGAAAAAAGGAAAAAACAGAGAAAAGCATTTACACTTTCTTCCATATGCTTTAATAACAGATTATCCTCAGGGAATGCTTTTATACAGGGTTTGAAAATATCAACAGTATCAGTACCAACTCAAAAAGATACACGCCCAAAACTATAAAAAGTGTCTAAATTTAAATCTGTCATAACACCTTATAACTTCAAGTAGCTGGTTTAAAACATTAATAATCCAGTTCATTGCTATGCTTTCCCGTATATTTTAGAATACACAGATTTCACTGTTTTTCAAAAATTCTCTAGATATTTGGAGGGAGGGGAGGTTGATGTTTACATATTCCATTATATTGAAAGACATAAGAGCAAAATTCCTAAATAAGTGCTTAGAAAACCAGTCTGAAATAAACTTTAATTCTATGTGTCCTTTCTCTAAAAATAAAAGTAATTGTAATATTTTAAATCTAATAATATGTATGACATTTCAGTGTCTTCATAAAATACTCAAATTGCAGTTGATGGTTGTCAGACCTACAGTGGGTGTGTATTAGTATGTGCATATGTTGCATCCAGTCCAGTTAAAATTAAACTTCAGATAAATAATGAATAACTTTTTAGTAAAAATATGTGTCAAATATTGCATGGACATCTTGTATTTTATCTGGCAACCAAGGATTGCATCCAATTTTACCAAATCATCAAAGTCAAGTGTTTGAAATAGGTTCCACCCGGAGTGCTGCTGTTCAAAATGTGGTCCCCAGACCACAGGTATCATCGAAGACCCTAGTAGAAATGCACACTCTCACCAGCCACCTCCCCAATCTGAACTGACAATTTGGCAAAATCTCCAGGTGATTCAAATGAACACTAACATGCAATGACTGCCCTGGAGCCCATTTACCATCCAAGTTCGGAATGGTGGGAAAATCTGTTAGAAATAACAATAACACAAGGACCAAATGATTTTCCAAAAAAAAAAAAAAATGTGATGAAGGTGAAATCAACAATTTCTAATGTTGGCTTCTGGAACAGTAATTCAAGGGAAATTTAGTTTTCAATAAGTTCTTTGACTTTAAGCACATCACTGCTCCTTGCCAGTTTGCAGGTTGGACTCCATTGCACAAAATTCAAGACTGACCGTGAATGAGATAACAGAAATTTATACACGATAAGAGTAAATATGGGCTAACATTTTCTCACATTTATATCTCGGTTATTTTCAAAGAAAATCCTGGTACTCAGAAATAAAACAAGACATTAAGAGGCTTTGTTTTTATATATTTACATGTATATTAAATTCATTTTAGTATAAACTGTATTATTAGTTTGCCATCACTACCTATTTTGTTTTTTAAAATTTCTGAAGGAGGTTAAACCACAAAAACATTTTAACTTCCTGGAAGAGTAAAATCATTATACTCTGAGAAATCACCTACATTTTCATTTCCTTTAAAAAAGAACTTAGAGAAAATAATCAATTTGATTCTCATCCACAGATTATAATTGGCCAAGTCATCCAAACCTCTTGTTTAAAACAGCAAGAGGAAAAACTTCAAGCAGACTCGGCTGGACTAGTTGCCTTTCCTTTCAAGGACATGATGGTTATTAGGCACGATGCTTAGACAGTTGGCTCGAAACCACACCGGTATGTTCCAGAACACAGTTAGCAGCTTCATACCACTTTGTCAGGATGAAGTTTAATATTGAAATAAAATAACCCCATCCTAAAAGTTTCAGCAATTTCAAAAAACAACCAACTCCAAGTTCCCAAACAAAAGCTAAAGCTATGTTTCTTAAAGGGTATTTTCTATACAGACTGGTCCCTGACTTCAATAAGTTTATGATCTATTAGAAGGATAAGAATGACAAGCATAGATCTTACAGAAAGAAAACATTCTTGTTTATAACTATAGGTTGGAACATATATGCCTGAAGGTATTGGTGGTAGTATCTTTTTTGTAATTACATGAACTGTATTTTTTATTGCAGTAGAATATACATAACATAAAATTTGCCATTTTAACCATTTTTTAGTGTACCATTCAATGGCCTTAATGACATTCACAATATTGTGCAACCGTCACCATGATCTATGTCCAAAATATTTCCATCATCTTAAGCAGAAAGGTTACCCCCATTAAGCAATAACTCTCCATTTCCTCCTTTCCACAGTCTCTGATAACCTCTAACCTACCTTCTGTCTCTGTGAATGTGTCTATTCTAGCTATATCATATAAGGGGAATCACACAATATTTGTGCTTTTTGTCTGGCTTATTTCACTTAGTGTAATGTTTTCTAAGTTCAAGCATATTGAGGCATGTATCAGAACTTTATTCCTCTTTGTGGCTGAATAATACTCCTTTAGATGCAGATACCATATTTTGTTTACCTAGTCACGTGTTGATAGACACTTGGGTAGTTTCCACTTTTTTACCATTGTGAGTAAGGCTGTTTTGAGTGACTGTTTTTCAAATCTTTGGGTTAGGTTTATATCTAGAGATGAAATTTCCACCTCACTGTCTCTGTGCCTGTAACAGGGTATATCAAGAAAAGATAGTATAATACCAAGAAGTAATACGAAGTAATACAGAGGCGGTTGAGTTATTGCCACGGGGAAATTATTTCACTAAATGAAAGTTGAGTAACAAATAACCCTTCCCTCCTGAGTGGCCCACGGGAGGCGCGGACCATTTAATTACAATACAAGATCTGTAACGGGGGCACACAAGAGAAGTCCTGACGGCAGGGTGACGGACATTAAACACAGGTGCGGAAGGAGGCGAGTCCGGTCTTCGGCGATCGGAACGTCAGTCCTGGGAGCGGAGGGGCACGGTGCTTTGGGTGGGAGGAGCAGCATGGGCCCAGGCGTGGAACTCATTTAAGGAAATTGAGTAGGGGAGTGAGGCTGAGGCGCGGACCACAGGAAGAGCCGGGGCAGAGAACGAAGGCTGAAAAGCAGGTCAGAGCCTGATGGCAAAGGGCTGACTGGGTGCCGCGGGGCTTGGGCTTCATCGGTGGACAAAGTATCTGCTAGAGGCACTGAAGCCGTAAGTCGCCCAATCGGACCGGGAGAATTGGGGCGCTGGAGGGATGGGTGACAAGTGGGGAAAGAGAGACCTACAAGCAGGCCAGGGAGGTGGCAAACTTGGGCACGTGAAGACAGAGCCTGGCAGCGGGAAATGAAAGGCGGGGCGGGGCGGGGTGGACACAGAGTAGGGTAACAATTTGGAGGGAAAGGTAATAGAGTGGAGAAACTCATTAGATGGGAAAGTCAGGGAGGAAGAGGCCGGGATTTCTGGTTAAGGTTTCTACCTGGGAATCAAGGTGGGTCGTTAACAGGGATTTAAGAGAAGGGGGGACAAGCAAGAAGGAAGCAGTTTGATTTTGTCTTGGAGATGCCAAATGGACAGCTGAAAATGCACATCTGTGAGAATTCTGAGCCACAGCAATTCTAAGGAGTATGTAGTTAAGATGGGTTCATTTTTAGCTCGTTTTCCTCTAAATGCAAAATATTTGTACTTTATTTTAATTCCAAGCATCTTTGAAGAAAATGTTCAAAGAAAACTAAAGAAGAAAAAGAAATCATTTATAAGGTCATTATCATGTAAATCTAAGAAACGAAAGTTTCAGAGGCAAATATCTTTTAGTTTCTTGTCTTTAGCTAAGTGTTACAATCTGAAAGAATGCAACTATATAACCAAAAACAACAGTAACTTGGCTTTCCCCAATGAAAAGGAAAATTCATTTATCACAGTACAAGGTTTGCCAAAGTACAAGATTAAAAACAAAATACTGATGAAATATTTGTTTATGCTACTTACTTTAATCTCACATAAACCAAGCCACTCGTCCTTTATTTCAACATGAGCACAAGTAAGACACAATTTAAAACTTCTGTCTTAAACTACCTATTGGTTATTTTGGCAAATCTGCATATTTTACTAAGTAAGTGGAGCTACAAAAAGACAAAGAAAGTATTACTGAAGAATGAGGATTATTCCCATAACCAAGAATGCTGCTGGTCCACGCCGAATCTGTTAAAGCATTCTGGTTCCCTGGATGAAACCTAAATAAATTTGTGAGTTATTTGGCTTACTTGAAGGATAAGCTTTTTAATGCAAATACAGTTCAGTGCTACAAATTTTTTTTTTCTGGGACTATACATTCACTTTTTTGCTCTTTGTACCATTACCAAGATGACCATGTTTAACAATCAAATCACGTCACACAACCTCTCCCTGTTTTTTTCTACCAAAATTCTAATCTCATCCCTAAAGTCTAGATTTTGAGAAAACCCTGATAACTTGAAAGGCTTCCTGAAAACTGCCTCCTAACTGGACACCCACGTGAGCCCGGTCTGACTGCTGATTCACCATCACCAACAATCACACCCAAATTTTCAAATGCTTCCGATGACTGCAGCCAGCCCGAGCGAGCTCCTCAGCTGCAGACAGTGGTCAGACCAGGGCGTCCTCCCAGGAGGTGGGGCTTCAGGCTGATGACTGCAAGCCCCTGTCTGAAGAGGTTGCTCATGGCCTGTAACCTCTCCTCTAACTTTTCCCAGAATGGTATGGGCTATATATTCTTTAGGCTTTTCGTGGTTGCTTAATCGAGTGATAAAAAGTGGCACTGAATTTTGGGGGAAAAAACAAAGTCAACAGCGAGGTGGCCGCTTCTCATACACTCAGTGCATGCCCTTCTGTGAGCTTCATTTTCTCCCGTATGTAATAGGCAGAAAACACCTACAAATGTGAGGCAGAAATTCCCCCGTGCCATTACTTACAGCCTTCTTAAAAGTTAACTGGTTAATGTAATCGACATGTCAGATACGAATGTTCCTGGTAGCTTTTGAAGGCTTTATGGTAAATCCACCAATCAACAGAGAAAATTAACACTTATTTAATACAGACAACAATCTGTTTTAGTCAATCAACCAACAAAATCTCCTTCCATGTCTCTGGAACAGGATGACAGGCTTTGGTGGATGTCAAGGAGCAACCAATCTATAAT